GATTTGGATGAATGACTCAGCCAAATTGCCAACCACAGGTGAAGTATCCAGAGCAACGTGCCACAACAATGACGCCCTCTTTCCAAATTCCAGACAGTGTATTTGGACTCTGTTGTCTAAAGCAATAACAACAACAGCTGCAGTGAAAGTGGCAATGTGTGAGGCTAACCAAGTGACTCACAGTTTACTGTCATCACTCTTTAAAAACATTTTCTGTCTCAGGAGATCATACAAACAGGCTAACACCTGAAGAAATTGATATAAAAACATTGGCCTAGCAAAAAAAAACAACAACAACGGACACTACAATATAATATTAATACTGAAGTTCTTGGGGGTCATTTTCAGTACAGTCGGTAGCATGACACACAATTTCTCTAGTTAACACACAAACTTTGTCTGTTGAGTCTTGTTCTTCCAAGCTCTGCTTTTCATTGAGATCATGAAAACTGCACCTGTGTTGGGCCGTTGCCTTGTTCTTTGCCAAGCAGTAATTGAAATGTTATTGCCAATCTCTCCCTTTCATCTTTTCTCCTCTCCACCTTTTCTCAAGGACAAAGGAGCCACGTTGCTATCCGTTTATGCACTGAAAAGCTGTCTCATGACCATGTTTTTGCATTATGTATTATTATTATTTATTATTAAATTGTCAGCCTTTTTGCTCCTCATAAATTCACAACAAACAATTGTTCAGTCTGTATTTAGGATCAACATTAACATGCAATAAGATGCTTTATTTTATTAAAAATACAAAAATCCAGATGATCAGTGATTAAAAAAAACCCAAAACAATTATTTTAAAGTGTTTTGCTATTGCAAAACTAACATTAAGATTAGAGATTAATGTTCCATATTCAATCTTCACATGACCCCTCACTATTGCTCCACAATTCATGCCGTTTAAACAACAAAAGGAGACATCTAAGCTCTTTTTACACAAATCCATGGCCTAGTTTTTACACTTGCTTATTTGCTGTAATTCTAATCTGACACAGAGAGTTCAGATGGTTGGTGCATTGAGCAGTGCAGCTAACCTTGCTATTGACAGTTTATTTCTATGTGAAGATGATAACAACAAAACAATAAATTCTTTGGATTAACTCACTTTGTTCTTGTCTTTCAATATCTTAAATTGCGTTTCTTTTTCTGGTGGACAGTACTGTGGTTGCAAAAGTGTCTGTCATGAACCGAACCACACACAAATTTTACTATAATGCTTTTAGTAGGATATGCACATTTGAATATATATATATATATATATATATGTGTGTGTGCATTTGAAATACCTTAGACCACAGGAGTGAAAACTTAAAATACACAAAAATGTATCTACTATGAAGTTACGAAGTATGACATGAATTGAATAGAAAAAAATAATAAAGTATATAAAAAACAAAAACAAAATAAAATTTATTAAATAAATAAATAAGACTGAAATGTTTACAAAATATATTGGGTTGCTATGATGAAATAATGATCGTAAATTCCACCTTTATTTATGACAGGAATTCCCACTTTAACATCAAGAGCAGTGTGTATGTTTTTTTCTCATTAAACAGAAGTCTGTTTTATGATTGTTAAACAATGAGTTCTATCAGTAGATCAGATAAATCAAATAAATATTTTTGCTAAGAACTACTGAAACACCATATTGTAATTTTATTGCAAAGTTGTAGTGGAAGACAAACAATTTCTTCTACCACTATCTCAGCAATCAAGTCAATTTAGCTATGCATTCTTTGTATGATTTCCTTAACTGGAATGTTGACTTTGGAAAGTTTTAACTGAAAATTGCTAATTTTCCTTTTTAAAGTTTCTTCTTTATACATAATAGATGTAATATTCACACATATTCCATCCCATTGAATAGCTCATTATCTATGCACAGGAGGGAAGTGAGAGAAAACAATAAAGGACAGGAATAAGTAGCAATGTGTGTAGTGCTTGAGAAGTGGAGCATTGCTGCAACTGATTAAACTATTCATGCTCTTTATGTAAATTCAAATTAGTGGAAAGCAGTAGCTCAGTGACATATGACATGTTCATATAGTCAGCTTGGCACTGCATATGTGCAGGCATGCATATGTGAATTAATTTTAGACTCTCTCACTTGATTGGCCATCTGCTTCCACTGATGTGAGGCTGCATAATCAGAAAGGTGAACAAATCAGGAGGCTTGACTCCTCAAGCAGAAAAAAGAAAGTGCACTTATTACTGAAAATGAAAGTGTAATTATTACTGATGCATATGGCTGACCTGCCCATATTATTAAGCGCTATACATCTATGTGTTTTAAAATCGACAGATGCTGTATTTCTGTCAATGCATTTGTGCATTTTTACATGACTACATCAATGACATTGCACATTAATTAAATTGTAGAACAAATGTGAAAATCCATTTATTTTTAGTAATTATTATTTTGACTAACTGATCATGAGCACCTTATCACGATTTTTTTTTCAAAGGGTAGCTGATGCCACCTAGTGACAATGTGGTGGCAACTACTATACTAAATGCAATAAACAGTATTTTTTATAATTTAAGTGATTATTAATTATTACGTATAATAATTATCATTCATAATAAATTATGTGGAATGCATGATTTCTAAATGTAATAAATAATTCAACAAACAAAAACAAATAAATAAATATGTGTTTAATATATATGAAATATAAATACACCTATAAAATGAATAACAATAAAATTTAAATTAATTTTTGCATGCTTTATATGAAATAATTTTTTACATGCTATTTTTTTCTTATTGGACTAATATTAAATTAAGTAACTCTTCTAATAATAATAATTGAGAAAACTTATTTTTTAAATTATGAATAAATATATAACAATACCACCCAATATAAAATGCCATATCATTAAATGTTCTAGCTTTAATAATAGTTCAGTCAGATACAAAGGATCGTCATTTCTTTTCTCCATAATTTAAATGTTATGTTGAGTGGTCGCGTGGATCTGCTAAGGGTCAGAAAGATGGTTTAATGAAACACAATGCAGAAAGAAAGAAATTAGGGGTGGAACGTTCAACTTACTCACGGTTCGGTTTGTATCACGGTTTTAGAGTCACGGTTTCGGTACGGTTCGGTATGTGCTATGTTTAGGGAAAAACTATACTGTTAAATAAAAATAAAGAAAATAAGAACAATCTATCTAACTACAAGCAACAGCACAAATAAATACAATAGAGCAAAGATACAAATAAAATAAACAGTGATTTTCATTTTTTTTTTAGGTAGGTCTAACATTAGTTTTTAGGTACAGAAATTGAATAAAGTAATGAAATGTAAAACAGCATTGCATATTTGACTGTATAAATTAAAGATTAATCAACAGCAAAGAAATCACTCACTGCTCTTGATTGAATAGACAGTACGTTCAGCCGGCTATGTCTGCTATAGGATACTTACCAAGACGGCCATTTTGATCTAATTTTTGTGTGAATTTGTCCATTTAAACACAATACTTCAGAGAGAGCTTAATATTTGCGCGCGTTCTGAGGAGCGGGTTTGCGCGCTTCGGATGAGCGCACGCACAAATCTTCTCACTGCGCGCGCGAGCTCGCGTACTCTGGCTCTTCAATGTTTAAACTGGCAAAGCTTACATGAGTTTAGTTTAAAAACAGATATCAACGTGTGCTGTTCAGGTCTCATCTGTGCGCGCGCGCTATCAGCACCCGGTGATGACGGAATAAATTACTGCTCATATTCCAGCATACGGCATTCGCATTGAACAAGAGTGAATGGTTTGTCCACTTTTTTTCCATCGCAGTTCTTGTAATGTAGGCCTATTGGGAAGCCAGAATGCGCATCCATCCACAGAAACATATATCCAAACCCTGTTTGTTTTACGTGTTATTTATAGCAAACCATATTACAGATGCGTTGTCAGATTTAAGTTGAACCGCGGTAGTGCTTGCCGAACCGTGTGTGGAGAACCATACGGTTCGTTTTTTTTCCGCGAACCGTTCCACCCCTAAAATAAATCATTGAATTCATCTGTGAAAGAGCAGTTATAATGAATAGTTGTTTCCAGGGGCATTTAATGACATGAGACAAGTGAAAAAAAGCCATAATGGTCCAAGGGCAGAGTAATAGGCTTACACCATCCACTTATGATTTGCTCAGAAGAGATGGAGAGGAAGGTCACTGCATGCATGCTAGACTGAGTGCAGAGCATTCTATTGCTGCTGTTGTTTCTTCTATCCTGGTTTTCCATTCATTTGTGACCAAGATAGCTTTCATTTTTTTCTTCAGATTTCAGACTTCTTTCATAAGTGAAATCTGCACTGTACTAATAATAGAACATTTTCAAGAGCTGTCAACTGTGACTAGCTGTCTGTAAAATGCAATGTGACACAATGAAGAACTATATTTACGTGATAGCAAAAATGAAGAAAAATGAAAATATCTCTGAAAAGCAATGGATAATTTCCAGTGAGGAGAAATGACATCTGAGTATCACATATTTCATTACACAATAATTTTAGATTTGTCACTAACGAAGACAGAGCTGTTTTCTAGTTAAATAGCTATAATATCTTTGAAATTAGGCAGAAATTGGTTGTATTTCAACAACAGTAAATGAAATGCTCTCTGTATGTAATATCTATAACAGAAAATTTATGGATTATGGTGAACACACTGTTTGTGGACTAAGCAACTAGATGGCAATGAAAGTCATAAACTGAATAAAAGAAGAGTAAATAAAAATAACCTGAGTTTCTTTATTGTAAGTAGGCCTATCCATTTAATTTATTTAGTTAAGACAGTAAAACTCGGTTTTATACCATATGTAGGGTGTTTCTTTAGCTTGAGGCACATTTATGTCTCAAAGAGGATTTTTTTTAAACTACCAAACCTGAAAAGGGTCTGCTGTAGTTACCTCTGAAACCACAAGATGACACCATTTCCTAAAAAACTAATAAGACCCATGACTACGCACTAATAGCGAGTGTAACTTTCAGGATAATGCTCAGATCCACCTAGTAAATTTAGTCGTGTTTGCGTTAGCTACTTAAGAATATTGAAAGTAATTTTTTGTTTAATCTGAATCCAATCCATAGAGTGAGTTTATTCGCTCAAACCACTGTAACAATTCCCCATCTTCATTTATTATCCGAAAGCCTTATTTTATGCCCAGTTCTAGCTCTGTGTGTTTAAATGCTGCGTGCCACTATGAGCTCGAGACACGGTGACGTCAGCGCCGAAACACTGAACTAAACAAGCCATTTCCAGCAGCGCGAGCCTCTGCCGGAGCGCTGGGCCTGCCCAAACTACTTCTGATAGTTACCCAGTGTCTGATCCGAGAAGTTGAACGGCGCTTTGACTGCTTTTCTTCAGTGAGTGACCGCGTCTCTCTGAAGAGCATCGCACGCAGACGGAAGGCGCAAACATGTCCGTGAAGCCTGAGGCAGATTCGGAGGGCAGCTGGTACGGGGACGATTTTGAGAAGATTGACCGCTTCGGGAGCACCTCCGCCGCCCAGCGGGATGACTTGGGAGAGGAGCGGCAGATGGGAGACTGGGAGGACGAATCAAGTGATGAGAAACAGTTTTCTAGCCATCCCGAAAGCGACCGGCAACCGCACCCTGTTGTCATGGAAACTGCTTCCACAGGTAATGTGATTTTAATGTACATCGTCATATATGCAACGCTTTGAAATACCTCGATGCTTAACTTCTCTGTCGACCGGGGCCTGGTTATCAGGTAGCAGTTACCTTGGCTTGCTGGCTCATTCTGTCTGGAGTGGAAGTTTTATTGAATTTAGGGATGGGCATCGTAAGGAATTGAATTCTTCTCGAATCATTTAGTTTTGAGGAAGGGATAATAAATTTAAAAAAAAATCAAGTTTCAGCAGATCAAATGTAAAAATAATAATAATAATATACATTTATTTCACAACACTTTTTAGAGATGGCATATTGTTCTATGTATTAAAATGATTAATAAACAAAATATCACTGATTCTAATAAGCATGTGTATACATTGTAAAAAATATTTTATACACAATATTGTATTGTATTGTAAAAATATAGTACACACATTATAAAATAATGTCTTACACATATGTGTATAACAAACCAGTCAGTATTTGTAATTGACTTAAGTGGATAAGCAAGGGTAACAGTTATTGGTTCATTTCGAATCTGACATGACTAAAGTAATAATTTATGGTTCAGAAAGTAAGTCAGTTTAATTTAGCGACTGATCCAGCTGAATCAAAGGTGTTTTTGATTCTAAAAGTTGCTTTGTGACAGTTAAGTGAGTTATTGAACCAACAATAATTCATTCAAAACAAGGATTCTTCCAGGAAGTAAACACCACATGTATATTTTTAATATAATAATAATTTATATTCTACTTATGAAATTGATTCTTTTATTAACTGCTAAATGTACTATATTTATCCAATATCACAAAAATAAGCAATCTATTTGTTCTTATAGTTTTTATATTCATGTCTGAGACCTATTGTTGATAGGTCAACACTTTGGCTACTAAAAACTACTTTTACTTACTATGATTTATAGTGTTATACATACCATAAAAAAATTGCAAATGCAAAATACTCTGTTAGTGAGATGTTGTATAACTTTTTTTCCCCCTTCAGTTGCTGGATCTTTATCTTTGTCATTATTTCAATGTGCTTCAGCTTCTTTTCAAACCAGACACTTTACAGTAACCTTTACTGCATAGAGATCAATACTTGACATTGCCATTTGAACATCTCACAGGCTTGGATCGAAAATCTGTTATATGGCATTATGCTACTAGAGAAACCCTATGATGGACAGACAGAGCTGTTCAGACTAGTCTTTCGTCATGTGGTTGTTTTTTTTCACTTAGTGAAATGAGATTGTAGCTCCATTTCTATAAAACACCAGTCCAAAATTAGTCTTTACAACCAGACAGAAATATAAGAGATAAGAAATGCTAATACTATATGCAATAGGAAGCTTTTTCAGGTTTGCACGTCTCTTAAAATTGTTTTGTTTTTCAGTTGTAGCTTAGACAAGCCTGCCTTTCTATGTTTAATGAATCTTAATGCTGCAGACTGTTGAGTGAAAGTGATATTATGTAATAGTCTTTCATGTGGGTATCGGAAAGATGGAGAAGTTATCACTGAATAACAAAAAATAACCTCGTTATGAGCTATAAAACAGTAAGCCTAATGTGAAAATGGTATTAGGTGATAAGGGAAAAAATTAATCAAATCATCATGTATTGCAAGAGTAAAACAGCAATAAAAGTGCTTCAACAGCAGTCTAAGCGTTCTGCTTTTAATTAACCAAACAAAAGGACATTTGGAACATTTTCTAAAATTTCCTAACCTATGCATGTCAACACTAAAGCACTGATTTAAATGAGCTCGAATTGGTATCTTTAACATATTAAGTTTCATTGTAGATGCATCATGAGTCACACACGATTTGTAGAAGTTGTTTTGTGTGTATCTGAATCACCAGACTGACATTGACAAGTGAATGAAATTTAGAGTCCTGTAGTAAAATCCTCTAATCAGACTGAATCTCTCTTTAGCTGAATGACAGCCTATCCCAGTGCTTATTGAACCACAGTACTGACTCTTAGAGGATGTGATACTTGGCCTTTTGGATCACATTTAGAGCACATTGTTAAACACATTCTTGATGTTGATATTAACATGAATTGAGCTTGACACTTTAGGTGAGAGCACATAGTAACTCTATTACTTATTTGACTTTTGATAAGACTATTTTAGATTAAAGTTTAGCAATACCATTTGTACACGAATAATTTAATGGACAGACATGAAACATAACCTCTGACAGAATGCATTTAATGTGAATACATCATCTTTTTGATAACATATAAGTCAGAGCAAGAGCAAACATTAGTGTTTTTTATACTGTTATTATCTTTACTAATTCTACACATCTGTTACTACTGCAAGTACTTGTTACAATTTGCTAGCTTGCAATGCAGTTATTCTTATGTCTTTCACCATATACAAACTTGATCATTTCCTCCTGTTTTCATAAAACAGTTTTTTCTCTACAAACATTTCACCAGTATCTTGCATGGCTTCTTTGGCTTGCTGGCATCACTATTTAATTTAAGGCAGATATAATGAGCAATTATATATGATGTGTAGGTTGTGTACTGGAGAGACCCCACTGTGTTGTCTTTCATGGTACCCCGATCAGAAATCAGAAAGCCTTATGAGTTGTATACAGACAGGCCGTTCATTGTTTTTAATGTCTTCGCTTCAGTGAACCGTGATTCATTAGGGACACTGGAATGCAAGTTCACTTTCTTCTTTACACACATACAGAAAGCGTTGCTGGTTGCAGAATATCACATGGGCATCAGAAAGTACTAAGAACCATAACAAGATTAAAAGAATCTATTTCCCTTTGCGGGAACACATTCGCCTCATTAGCACTGACTCAGCACTTGCTGCCATGATTTTAAAATGCATGATTTTAAAGTTCAGAAACTGCTTTCTGTATATACTGATATTCTACAATAAATTGATTAAACAACATTATATATTGTATAATTTTTAACTGCTGCTCCAGACTGTTCACATTATTTTTTGTGAACATTTCTCTTGTTTTCTAGTACATTGAGAAGCAAATGGCATCATATTATGCTTAAAACAAGAAAAAGCATTGCCAGTGTCAGAGTTTTTTTCCCATATAAAAATACTGACATGAGAAAATAAAAAAGGCAATAAATGTTCATCATAAGTAATTGGTACTTAATTGGGTCTAGAAAGAAAAGAGACCCCAACCTCCAAAATTTAGTGTATTTATATTTAAATACAATATTGTTTGTCTAGTTTTCATACTTATTCTTTACTTTTGTTTCTATCCTTTACCAAGCATTGTTGAATATTTTCAGCATGTAGGAAAAATACTAGAAACAAGCTTAATGGCCAAACATAAGGTGTGTATAGCCAATGTACTGTTTGTTGTGATGAATGAATCTCAATGCAGCAAGCATATTGCATCACAGACTAAAGCGATTATGTAAAAGCTTTAAACATATGCTCATTTGTCCAGCCCTACGAGGTGGACAGATTATTGTCTTCTTTTCCTGACAGATTGTTCTCTGTGGTAATTAACCCCAGTGACGCAGAGAAAATGGTTATGTTTAAAAAAAATTTAAAATGAATTTAGAACCTAATAGATTTCAGCAGCTGCTGATTTTTAAAACCACTATTGATGGTTGGGGTCACTATATTTTGTATTTTATATAATTACTACATTGTTCTTTAAATATTGAGATTGCTATGCTTTACCTTTTACATTTTTCACTATAAACCCACAATTCCTGCAGACACTGGCATGCTGGAACAGGTGGTTTTCAGGTACAAGAGAAGTACCTCCAACAGCTGCCTCTGGCTCTCCATCTGCATCTGTTCTCATGATGAAGTAAATCCGGTGAATTCATACACATACACATAGAGTAACCATGTGAAAGTGTGCCTGCAGTGACTTGAAGTTGGCACCAACTCCTCATGTGCCACAAACCTGTCAGTGGCATCTTGATCTTCCCTTCAACCTTATCTGTCTGTCAGACGTACTGTTCTGCAGAGATACGTGCTGGTGGCACAGCAGAGATGAGTGTCTAAAAGGAAGCCCATCTTAGTGACAGAGAGCTTTAAAAAAAAATAAAAATAAAAAAAAATTTTTTATTGTGGGATATAATTATGCTGTTTTGAAACATAACCCCTGTCATATTTTCCCTCCCAGTCACTTTTTATCACTCTTTGTTTGTTAAGGAAAGTCTGCAGTGTCGCTTCATCAGTGTCTTCCTGTGAAGATAGACCTGGCGCTGACCAGAAATAACACAGACTAGAGGAAGGAAGTCCTCACAATGTACTGATCTTTCTAAGCTCAGTTAAAACAGTCAGAGCTACTCAGCTAAGGAAAGAAAAATTCGCTTCTTGCCAAAAGTAGATTACACACTTGTGTGTCAAAAGGACAACATAATCAAAACATCATATATAGTAGAGTACATCCAAAACAATGAGTTGTGAAAGAGCAAGATCAGAGCTAGTCTGATCTTGCTAGTTAGTCAGGATGGTAGTTCTGCCAACATTTTCACTGGCTTTAGCATAGTTTTTGGAGTGCTGTGCTAACTGAAACTGAATATTCATTTAACTGCAATAGGAGGCCCTTGTGAAAAAGAAGTTCATTTTAGCATAATTTTAAAAGGAGACTTTACTCTTATTACAGAAATAATATACTTAATTGCACTTTAGAGTCCTTATTTGACCCACTTAGGCAAGATGTAAGTACATCTTTGTATGTAATTAGGGGCCAAGCACCGAAGGTGCGATGGCACCTATTGTATCCGTTGGTGTTCTTTTTCTTCTTCCGTTTCTTCTTCCACTCTTGAGTCTATGGCAGCCCATAGAACCGCTTGCGGGAAAGTTGTGAAATTTGGTACACTGATAGAGCACCGTCTCAACATTAACCATAGCAAGTTTGGAGTCTCTAACTCAAACTCTCTCTACTCAAACTCCACCACTTATCCAAAGTTTCACTCATGTTTATGCTAATAACTTTTGAACCGTAAGGTACATAAGGAAAATCGAATGAACTCCAAAATTAAAAAATCGTA